GTAATTTATTAGGTTATATTTTTGTTTACACATGGTTCAAATGTGTTTTTTGTTTACACATGATTCAAATACTACAGTTGAAGTATGGTCACTTTAGTAAAACCATGGTTCATTATCATAAGGGGCTGCCAGTGACAGGCTGTTGCATCCATAAAATGCAACCTTTTTGTTCTGACAGTGATTTCTATTAACATTACAGAATAGAACATGATCTATATTATCTTTCAAAGTTCACTTTAAATAAATGTAATTGTACAAACTATATTCAATGCATTTGTACGCATTATTATTATTATTTTAAATAAACAAAATCACTGGTAAATAAAACACACCTTAGTATCGATATTTTTAGTTTGAGTATTGATACTTAGGATCGATACACCCATCCCTACCACAAGGTCAAAATTTACTGGTATTACTATTTGGTCCCCATAATGTAATGCTCACACAATACTTTGAATTACTCACAATACTCTTGGTGTGTGTTATTCAAAAATATCTTCTTTTGTATTTTGTATTTTGGAAAGAGAACCATATAGGTTTGGAACACTGGTGTTTTCTGTTCCTGAATGTTTAGAATGAATCTGTTGAGTGAATAATTCAATGACTCACTCATTAAGACAGTCGCTTGTTTGATCCCTGAATGAATCTGTTGAGTGAATAATTCAATGACCAACTCATAAATTTAACCACTTGTTTGATCCCTGAATTAATCTGTTTTGAACGAATCTGTTGAGTGAATGATTCAATGACTCACTCATTAAGACAGTCGCTTGTTTGATCCCTGAATGAATCTGTTGAGTGAATAATTCAATGACTCACTCATTAAGACAGTTGCTTGTTTCATGAATGAATCAGTGTTTTTGATTGTTTCTATTGAGTGAATAATAAAAAAAATTCACTCATAAATTCAACATTTTGTTTCATCCCTGAATGAATCAGTCTGTGCATGATTCATTGACTTCCTCATAAAGACAGTCACTTGTCGCCACCTATTGGTGTATCAATGTAACCTGCTGAAAATGCCCACCACTAACTGTCTTAGTTTAGCAAAAACAGACATAATACTAATAGTGTTAGCCCCATACTGTTGGACTCTACATGTTATGTGGGCCTCTCAGATGTTATTCTGTGCCTGTCTTCAACAAGAAGGCTTCTTCAGGCAGCTAACAGGAAAGATTTGACTTACATGTAAAGTGTCCTGGATAGTTATTATACATGCCTGATATGAAATTAATCACTTGCACACATCCGCAAACAAACAATCTGATTTTTGTACACATAAGCACCACTGCGAAATTGAAACAAGCTGAAATATCTTATTTAATCCAAAACAGGGATACAAACAGAGGATGAAGGAAACATTTCTCAGCCCCTACATGCTCATCATGATGAATTAATTTAAACGTCTAAAATCCATTTCAAAATGCCATAAAGGATGTTTGTTAGGAGTTTTTCTCTAAAGAGGAGTCATGGGAGCCACACAACCGTGTAGAGCTATAAGTAAAGTATTGTTTTGAAATGTTGCATTGCTTTGTCACTCTGATCACTGAGGTTTATTTTTATGTATCAGTCCCTTATGTGCTCATTTAAAATCAAGGTTATTTATTTGTTAGCAATGGCAAGTGAATCAACAGATGAGATGTGTGAGCGGTCTTGTGTGGCCAAGTACATTCTTCTACTCAACCTCAATAGCAATGACTGCTTTTCTATAACGATGATTTATCTGAGCTGAACAAATAAGCTCATGTCTATTTAATTGTGAAAGAACAGTTTTCTAATCCAATCACAACCATGCCATACATTACTGGTTGTAGCTGGGGAGCCAATCATAGAAATCAATCCCAGTTTGGATTTTCAACTTTTGTAAAATCACATGGTTTTTAATTAGATGCTTTTGACATATTTGTACATGGTGTCAAACTGAAAATGTCGTGAGAATCGCCCACAAGGTGGTGCTATAATAGCCTAATCAAATTTACGTTTTTGCCAATAACTGTGTATCTATACCTGCAAGCAGCATCATGCAAGCAGCATGAATTGCAATTAATTGCAAAGTCCCTCTTTGCCGTGAAAAAGTGATAACTGTGGCTCGGGGAACAAGACATCAAAATTTAGGGTCCATGGCCAGGAAACTCCCCAGCATACCTGTCAACACTCCCCTTTTCCCCAGGATTCTCCCGTATTTTACCATTATATCCCGCTATCATCCCGTTTAAATAATTTCCCGTATTTTTAATCTTTCTATATACATATATTAAAAAAATATATATATACATGTAAATGTATATTAACATGTATAATGGGATGTAGCTTACACTGCAAAAGGCTATTTAATTGATTAAATATGAGCGCTGCAAGTTTCAAAGTCAGGTGCTGGCTGCTTTGTTTACTGCGGTTACAGAGGAAACGGCTATATTCCTGGCGAAAAGCGCCACCTGCTGGCAGAGAATGCATTTGCATTTTCCAATAAGCCCTTCTGCTCTTTAGACCAAAGCAAAAAACGACCCTTATTTTTATGCAGAAAACACATAGCTGTAAATGTGAACTGGTGGATCGACAAGAAGATAATGAATTATAAAACTCATATAGCCTACACCAAGATATATTTATGTTACTAAATGAATATAATTGTTTGATAATAATTGTTTAAATTAATATAAAAATAAAATAATATAATGGTTTTATATTTATGTTCTTTTAATTCAGATAGGAGGTCATGCTGTGACGTATCATCTGCCATTGGTCACACGGTGTCACGTGATGCGAATTCACAGGCCAGAGTTCACCAAGCTTGAACTTTGGAACACAGCGAAATGCGAAAACCATAGATATGTATAAATGCCCCATTCGAAGGCTCCAGGCACAGATGCGGCCGCCATCTTTGAACGGTCAACTTGACGTCATTCACCATACTGTAGGTTCTCACAGAGCCGTTGAGCCATTCTGTGCAGGATTGTGGCATCTTTCGAATATTCAGTGATTACTATGGTGAATGACTTCAAGTTGACCGTTACAATATAGCGGACAGCTTACGTATAGCGGCCCATAGAAACAGTCGCTAATGAGGCATCTACGTATATACAGTATATGGGCGAATTCCAAACGGCTTTTTGTGCCCTTGAAGGACACTTCGGGAAGGGGATGCCATTTGTAGGGACGTTCCAAACGAAAGTGAACAACTGAAACCCTTCACGAAGGGCCCTTCCAGAAGTCCGTTAGCGAAGGGAACATGCGATGGTCACTTCACGGAAGTGATTTCCATTTGTGATCATGTGATCTTCGGTTAGGAGATCTTGTGATGCTTTTTAAAGCAAAGTTGGGGTTGATTTCGAGTTCACATACAAACATAAATAGAATAGGCTAATTAAATTAGTCTATTTTAATGTAAGACAACATATTTTTCGTCAGTGATAGAAATATGATTTAAGACGGTAGTGCAAGCAAGTTTAGTTTGAAAACGTTTATTAGTAAATAAGACACAATTAGACAATATTTGAATAAAATAATAACAAAGCCCTTTTATTCTATAGTCTTTGATAATACTACTAATAATACATATTTATTTGCAACAACTGATGGAGTACTGAATGCTGCACGCAGGCGCAGCGTTGTCAAGGTAACATTTGGTCAGTCATACCCTTAGCCAAGGGAGTTCCAAACGCTTATAGGAGACAGTAATGCCCTACACCCTTAAAAGAACACACTTCAAGGGCTCTGCCCTTCGAAGGGAGTAGGGCATAGGGATGCTCACTTCCGTTTGGAATTCGAACTTTTCGCACGGGTTTGCGTTTCCGGTCTGACGCATTAGCATGCGTATGAATGGATGTCAATGGAATGAATAGTGTGACCAAAACAAGGAAATGTTGTCTATAATAAAATATTGTTGGGACATTCCAATCTGCTGCACGCAGGCGCAGCGTTGTCAAGGTAACATTTGGTCAGTCATACCCTTAGCCAAGGGAGTTCCAAACGCTTATAGGAGACAGTAATGCCCTACACCCTTAAAAGAACACACTTCAAGGGCTCTGCCCTTCGAAGGGAGTAGGGCATAGGGATGCTCACTTCCGTTTGGAATTCGAACTTTTCGCACAGGTTTGCGTTTCCGGTCTGACGCATTAGCATGCGTATGAATGGATGTCAATGGAATGAATAGTGTGACCAAAACAAGGAAAGAGGTTGTCTATAATAAAATATTGTTGGGACATTCCAATCTTAATAGTACACTCAAAATATTAGGGAAGCATCCAACAATGCAAAGTAGAAGAAACAGTAACCCATGCAATACTTGAATGTGAATATGATAGTTGAAATCAAGAAGAATGGAATTCAGGTGGTACATTTGAAATCTTTAATAAAAGAAGCAAGTGAAATAAATAGTAAAGATTTCTTTAATTTTCTTACAAGGACGGGATTAATAAGTAGAATGTAACGCTCTGTTCCACACTCCGGAGCAGAAGGTGGCGGTAATGCACCTAATTACGCTGGTTGCCAGCCGCCGTTAAAAGCCAAGAAGAATAGTGTGACCGCGGCGTATTAAATAACAGTTTGCACATAATAGGGAAACATGAAACATGCAATTGTGATAAATGTGGACTACCAGAAACGGTTGAGCATGTTCTTTTAATATGTATAGCGTATGAAAGGGAAAGACATCAGATGTTCCAAGAACTGGAACTGATGGGAATTAATAGTATATCTATCTCTAAAGACACTATTAGGTTATGGGGTAATGCAATCAAGAATATATGGAGAATTGTTTAAGTATTTAAAAAAGACAAGATTAATGGAAACAGTTTGAAGTTTGGAATTTTGTATTTATTTACATTAACACATTTTTTTGGTTTATTTTATTATTATTATAATATTTTTATTTATTTATCTATAATAGTTTAATAATTCATAGCTGAACCGTGTACGTTTCACACTCCAGACCAGTAGGTGGCGGACATGCACCTTTAACGGTGGTTTGCCAATCCGCCAAAAAACTCGAGAGAAGAAGAAGTGACCGCGGCTTTACTGGGTTAATCTTTTTCACGTTTCCTTGGTTGGTAGATGCACCGGAGACCTGATTATAGCAATTAAACCCGGGAAAAGTCAGATTTTCATGATATGTCACCTTTGAGTAACTAAAATCACAACTTCAAATGTTTGTAGAGAGAGACGCACAGACGACGCAGGTAATTCACACACACACACCTTATAAATTCAAATAAATGCTATAATTCATTCACATCACACACACAACTGTCATCTTTCTCTCTCGATCAATCAATCGATAATTAATCAAAATAAATGCTGTAATTCGTTCAAATAAATGTGATCTTACCGCACTAGTTCATCTCGGTCTGATTTAAAGCGGGCAGAATGCTAGAGCTAGCCGTAACTGACGAAAATAACCGTCATTTTTACCCAGTCGGTCAAATATTGTGCTGTAACGAGCAATACTAGTTTTAACTTGTCTATAACTTGGCAAATGACCATGGAATAAGCGGGATTATCAACGGGTTGCCATGCATTAACGGACTTTAAACGCACTTCGCGTCGGGTGGTTCTTTGCCTCCACGTTAAAGCAGGCAAACCGTTGATTAACCCTTACATTTAATTTTGTCCGCCATTTTCCCCAGTTTTCGAACTGGTCCTAGGCCACTTGTCTGATTTGGCACAAAATTCAATTAGCAAAAGTGAGCACAAGAATTCTGTTTGTGGAGATATAGGCTGATATATTTGAGTGTGACACACAACGACTAATCTTGTGACTATAATGTCAAAACTTTTACAAAACCTATGTACACATGTACAACACAACAATCTGAGGAAACATGCCAAAATGACTTTTGCAGGAGCCTAAAGTACTGCAGGTGAATGTACTGTGAAACTCTACAAGGGAACAGCACAATATAAATAAAATCTAAATTTATTATACATCATCTTACAAAACTCTTTATACTAATTTTTAAAAGATGTATAAAATTCTTTATACATTTTCTTACACATTTTCTTACAAAATTCCTTATACATTTTCTTACAAAACAGCACAATATAAATAAAATCTAAATTTATTATACATCATCTTACAAAACTCTTTATACTAATTTTTAAAAGATGTATAAAATTCTTTATACATTTTCTTACAAAATTCCTTATAATAAATAAACGAATACAAATAAAAAATTTACTATTATTTACAGATCCCCAAACAACAATACGCAAGTATTGCTGCTTCAAGTCAAGGCGCCAGACGCTACCAGGACTTGCAGGGCGCGCAAGACGCTAAGGCCTGAATGGACTGATGGAAAGGCCACTCTTGTCAGCCCGCGAGACGCAAAGCTGACTGAAGACAGAAAACAACAGGGTGGCCGTGACAGGAGTTGTTTTCTGAGGTTCTTTGTGTCTTACTCCGTGACCTGAAACAAAAAGATAAATCAGCATTATTTGTCTAAATACATTACATTTAGAGAAAAATTGACTTTAAATTAATGATGACTGATGATCAAACTAAACCAACAAAACGCTTGGCTAATCATAGAGACTGTACCTTAAAACAGTCATGGAGATGCATCTTGTCCAGACTGAGTCTCTCCTGTGGCTTGGCCTGCAGGCAATCACAAATCATCTGGCAGCATTCTGTGCAAAAAGACGAGAGAGACATTTGATTATAACTTATACTTTACACCTGATCTCTTTGAAGCTATTGGTCCTTTTTGTATGATTTAGAGTTCTTTGTTGTTTGATGAAGATCTCACCTTTTGACAAGCCAGGTCTGGTCCAGAGGTTCACAGTGATCATGTGTCGGTCATAGGATGTAGGATATTCTCCACACAGCATTTCATACAGGATGAACCCTAGAGTCCACACTGTCGTCGGTTTTGCGTGGTACCTGCCCTTAATGTAGAACTCAGGTGGACAGTACTCTCTTGTGCCTGCAGGAAACATGTCTGATGTTTAATACATTATCGCATCATGTTGATTATATATAGGATGTGTTTCTGTGAGATAATTAACAAAGCAGTTCATAACACATACCTTGGAAGACTTTGAAGGCAGATTTCTTCATGAGCGCACTGCACCCGAAGTTAATTAATTTGACCTCCATGGTGTCCTCATTCACCAGAAGGTTCTCCAATTTTAAATCACGATGGAAGATGCCACGCTTACAGAAAGTTTTAGCGGTATCAATGACCTGCCGCATAATATTTTGTGCCATCCCCTCGTCAAGTCTTCCTCCATGGTGATCCACAAAACTAAACAAGTCCATGCAAGGAATGGGGCGCTCCATGACCATCACGTAGTGGTCTGTGTCATCCTCCCAGTCAAGCAGCTTAATGATCTGAGGAACGCTGGGGCCCTTATTGGCCATGAGCATCAGGCCAATCTCCATGGGAAGGCGTTTGGGATGACCAGGCTAAAAGAAGGAAAATACGATGCTTAGATGGAGGCAGTATCCCTAATAATGACTTGGTTCACAAATCAAAACAGGTTGCCTACTAAAAGCTTATTTGTAGTCTGTGATTAACATCAATATAAGATGTGATAAACTGAAAACGGTGACTAAGAGGAAATAACATTGAGAGCGCAGCCTACTTGCCACGCTGATAGATGGCATGTTTGGCATCTTCCTTGAACATTTCACAGCCACCTAATCAACAAAACAAAGAATTAGCATGTGCAGATAGTTGATATCACTCCAGTCATAAATCCTGAACAGATGTGCAAAGTTTTTAAGTGAAGAAAATTGAAACCTTAAGTCCATCCTTGCAGCGAGTCCCACATCCTCCTTCACCATCTTGCAGCTGATTTTATACTGCTTGTGAATGTGGCCTAATAACAGACAAACAATTGTGGTTAGTATGAAATGCCACTTTATATAATACTCTATATATAATAATGGTTTATAATATCATTTTCTAATTCTCATAGATTTCTTATTCTTACCCTTGTCCAGGATGTCCTGCACAAGCCGTTCCTCAGCAGTGAGGAGAACTTTCTCTCTCCCTGCCTCCGTTCTCCCTCCATCAGTCTCAACACCACCAACAGGCGCCTCATCAGGCAGATTAGGATGACTGTTCTCTGACGTGATGGGGTAAAGTACACCGGGTTCGTGCACACTCTGGCCTAGTAACAGACAAACAATTGTAGTTATGAAATTCAATTTTATATATGTATTTGATTGATTTTATAATTTATAATGACCTTTTCTAATTCTCATGGATTTCTTATTCTTACCCTTGTCCAGGACATCCTGCTTCTGCTGTTCCTCAGCAGCGGGGAGGACTTCAAGAGCTGGAGCTGTTATATGAATTAAATCAAAAATAATATGAATAAAATATTAACATACTCAAATTCTTGTAGTTCTTCATTTTGGGGCAGTTTTGAATTGATATCCTGAACTTCTCTAAACAATGTAAATCAATTTATTTCCGGTAATGACATCTAACAAAGTTCAGATCAAAAATCTTTAATTCAGTTTCTGATATTTAAATTTACTTTAAACTTACTTCGTGTTTTGGACGATAGTGATGGGACAGTTTTTTCTTTTTCTTAAAAGGAAGAATAACAGAAGTTCCTGTAACTGAAGAATCAGTCATTTATCAATATTTGCATCATGATGTTGATGTGATTGTACCATCGCTATGTCTCTGATATGTTCCCGCCTCTATCCCGCATTTCTTCTCAGCTTTGACCAGGTCATATGTTCCAGGTCATATGTTCCAGGTCTGCGGCAAGGAAAGTGAAGAGTGGGCCACTTCCAGAAGCGCTTATTCTTCTTCTTCTTCTTCTCTGTTCTCCCTCCAGCAGTCTCAGCAGCATCAGACGGATTAGGTTGACGGTTCTCCGAGCTGGTGGGGGAGTCTTTGGTTTGTACACAGGGCTCACGTACACACTCCAAACCAGTCGCTTTTTTTAGTCTTGAAAGCAGTCCCATGATAACAGTGTTTGCCACTCGCTAATAGTCGCTATCAAATACTCCGACACTTCAACCCACAAAACGTGCAAGTGATTTGCATGCCATTAAATACTGTAATAAGCTAATTGTGACATCATAAACGCTTGCGCAGAATGCATAACGTGGTCCTTTCGAACGATAGCATTCATATCTAATGATATTTGATACTAACTTAATGATATAATTTGTTGTATTGTGTACATCACGTGTTGTAAATATAGCAGTTTTATACATTTTATCACACCTTAAAGCGATAAGGAAATATGAGAAAATAGAGCCCCTTTAGTATTCTCGTAAACACAGTGGGTAGTTGGAAATTAAAGTGACAGCAGCCTAAAATACCTGCTGCTATCTGTGTCCGCAATGATGACAAAATCACTGTTGTTCTTGTCTGAATAACTTTAGAAGCTTTAATAAGAATCCATGTATATGTAATTCACACAATGAAGACGATTTTATTTTTATATGACTTAACATTTTTTTTGTATTACTTGAATATTACTGTTAAATAGACTAATTGTACCTAAAGAAAAAAAAAACTTGAACTGTTTAATTTGTATCTTTCTGCAGCTTTATGGTGCTATAAGTGAATTTACAATTTTGCTAATTACCTAAATTTGCATCTGTGTTTGTTAGCATGAAATATTTTATTTACTACAAATCCTTGCGTCATGAACTTCAAATAGGGGTGTAACGATTCACTCATTTTCTCAATGCATCAATTACAAACCCTAACCATGCAATGCATCGATCTTGAAACAAGGATCGAATGAATCGCGATTTCATGCTTTCAAAATATATACACATTAAATTAATACAAGCAGGAATTAATGGAGACCTTGAAAAGTGTTCGTGCCTCGCATCTCTCCTTCACGCGCTCCACTATTTACCGTCTGCAGTCACAGATGGTGCTATAAGTGAATTTACAATTTTGCTAATTACCTAAATTTGCATCTGTGTTTGTTAGCATGAAATATTTTATTTACTACAAATCCTTGCGTCATGAACTTCAAATAGGGGTGTAACGATTCACTCATTTTCTCAATGCATCAATTACAAACCCTAACCATGCAATGCATCGATCTTGAAACAAGGATCGAATGAATCGCGATTTCATGCTTTCAAAATATATACACATTAAATTTCTACAAGCACAAATTAATGGAGACCTTGAACAGTGTTCGTGCCTCGCATCTCTCCTTCACGCGCTCCACTATTTACCGCCTGCAGTCACAGGATTGCACTCGCGCTCAGTTGGTCTCACTGACACATTTTTGAGCAGCTGATGTGTGATCTCTCCTTAGTACTCGTGGCCAGTAATGCTAAAGTGAAGTAGTTGTACTTTTCTGTAGTTTTTCAATGGCTCTCGGTCATACCGACGACGACAGTCGAAGGCTGCGCATTTATTGCATGGACGGAGCAAAAATGGAAGTGTCTAAAGCAGGGGTTTGCAACCTTTTAGGACATGCGCCCCCCTAAATTTGTCTAATTTCACTCGCCCCCCCCCCCAATAGCTATTAAAGCAGCGAACAATTTTTCTTTTGCTCTTTTTGATTAACATTACTTATATAAATGCACGGATCCGCTATACTGATGTACATTTGATATTTTCTTTACTGTTTACATTCACTTAAAACAACCGACTGTGCTCACAAGGATACTTGTCAAGACAGCCATTGGTATTCACCTGCTGTCTGAGAAGGCTATCTGTTTGTGCACTACAGGTGTGTGAGCGGTGCGCATAGAAACGCTCTATCACAGTGCGTGAGTACCGCATTGAGATGTCTTGGGCTTAAATGGCTTAAAATTACTTTAATGTTTAAACTGACACGACTTAAAACACGTGAGAATGAAAAACTTTCTCGAGGAAGCAGCACTGGCCTGATCGTTAAGATAGTTTTGGGGGGATAAGGTGACAGATAGGGGGGCTGAAACCCACCTGAAGAGGGGTTAGAACCGCCCCTGGTATAGCGTGTGTAATTATACTGAAACATAAATATATAACCAGTTTACCTGATTCAATGTGATGGCTGAGCCTGTTTCTGAGATAACAACATGCCAATCCGTGGTTGGATTTCCGACACGGCTAATCGTAAATCATCTTACACCGTCAATAAGCGTGACCAGGGTTGCCAGGTTTTCACAACAAAACCCGCCTAATTGTTACTCAAAACTCGCCCAAAACTTCAAAGCGCGGCAAGTGTTAAAGTAGCCCAATTCCGCGGGAAAACCGTGGACTTGGCAACACTGAGCGTGACTGATGCTCGAGCCAACTCTGCTTTAACTGTCGACTAGCAGTGGGAGTCAGATTGCCCCCCTAGTGGATGGCTAAAGATTTGTTAACTCATATTCATAAATTCTCAAGGGAACGTCTCTGAATTAACTGATGCTCGCCCCCTTGACAGGTGATGGCGCCCCCTAGGGGCAAATAAGTGAAAACCCCTGGTCTAAAGCATACGCACAGTTCCATTGAATGATAAATGTGTTTTAACAATGTCGTTGAACCGAATGTACGAAGAAAACTAAAAAAAAACACAGCATTAACAACAAATAAGAGAATAAGCCTGAACGTAGAGTTCGTTGCTATAGAAAACAAACATCGGCGTTTTCTTGGATCATCATTCGCCGATGGAGAGGTTAAGTTGAATACTATAGCATTTTATTTTAGGAAATTGAGAATTTTTCGCACTGAAAGATATGCCAGGCTATATCTGCAGCTAAGCTGTATAAAAAGCAGAATGAACTGAAACGTTAAGACAATAAATAAATAAATACAATTTATGAATGATGCCGTGCTAATTGACATATAATTTATTTCAGTAGCCTACAGAAACTATAAAGTATATATATATATTTTACCTTATTCTGTGCAGAAAATTGAAGTAATTGTTTGTAGTAGGCTATATAAAACAGTAATACAATTGCCATTAGGAAAAAAATTATAGATTGCAAATAATTGATTATTGTCCAGCAGTGTATTTGATTTTTTATAGCAAATTCAAAGTAAGAGATAAAATAATTCCTTGTATAAAAAAATAAAATAGTAATAATACTAACATACGTACATAAAATTATTGTATTTGACATTTCTGTCACTTCTGAAATGATGGCTACGCCCCTGGTGTGACAAAATGTTAGCCTATACATTATACTTTTAAAGCTCTTTTTAAAATCTTGGCTTACATAAATTTCTACATATGCCATAGCATCATTAAACTAGCATCTAACAATAGACAAAAGTGTTTTTTTTTTCTTCTAACCTATGGTTCTGTAACCATAAAAGCTGCTGTGTAATTTGCACCCTGCCTAAGCATTTAAATAATCCTGTGAATGCACAAAGAATGCGGAATCGAATCATTAATCGAATCGAATCGAATTTAATTGTGAATCGAATCGGGAATTTGCATGTATAGGTTTTCTAATGTTTTTCTTTTAGTTTGAATGGCTGATATTTGCTTGTTTGTTTGAGTGAGTCGTTTCTATTGAAACTATCATGCATTTTTGCTATTTCATCAAACCCTAACTTAAAAAAAAAACACATTATTTGGAAAGATACATGGCCCATGAGCCACTGGTGTCCATATTGTCCACCTGAGCCATTGGTGCTTCAACCATGATGATTGCTGCTTGCAGCTATATTTCTATATTTAAAATTGTAATGTGCACTATCGTGTCCCTTTGCTGACCCTCTTTGACCTGTATAATTTCTCCACAAATGAAAGAGCCCGTGTCTTTGACCTGAATGCTAATTAATGCCTCAGAATGGAGGGCCTGTGCCACTTTCCATCAGCTATCATCAATTCAGATATTTATATTATAATGCTTTTCAAATTCACGTGTTGAAATGTTGAAGAAGTTGAAATTCTTCTTAATTGTGTTGTCTAATAATTGTTTTTATTGGCTCTGATTTAAAAACATTCAGAAAAGTGCTTTTTTGTCTTACTGCAAAAAAGTACAATATATCCTACACCAAGCCGTGTTTGAGCTTGAATGTACTCCATTTGCTTCTCTCTTTCCTTCTGCGAATGCCAGAAATTTCATTTCTGTCTGAATTATTAAATAATCCCTGCTCATTAAATCATTTGGGAAATTATGTGTTAATTATGCAGCCGGGGAGCACCACACCAAGTACTGGGCCTTATTATATTCATAACCATGTGCTAATGACTGAATGTCTGATTGATTAACAAGACAAAACTATTGAATTGTAATTCTGTTTGGTTCATGCTTTACTTTTCATGGATCAGCTCTTTGTTGTGCCATATAACAAGCCTAAAATCAATCAAATCTTCCTTGTCGTTCCGCAAAGGATCAACAATGGTCTCACAAATTGATTAGTCGGCT